CAGTTACCGTCACACAGATTGCCTTCTCCTGGACTTCATCCACAGAAAAACACACCAAAAAATAAACAACAAAACCTCCATCGAGAAGAAAGCAAAAATATGAAACATTAGAACAAATTTTAAATGGGTCAAAAGGGAGAACAAATAAGTTATTACATTTTTGCCTAACTACATCTGCGTTGATCCACAACCCTAAGCACTCTGTCCAGTAGCAAGGCTATTTACATCCCTGGCCAAGGGTCAGAGGAGAGCCTCTGGAGACTTCACCCACGAGGCCCCTGTAAATGGACTGGGGCTTTCACTGTCACCTACAGGCTTCTGCAAACCGAGCGCACAATTTAAGCTCAATGCCATTCCCTCCTCTGGTCTTGGGTTTTATTTCTTTCCAATCCTTGGATTATACAGGCTGGCATACTTTTTCCATATACCTTGCCTGAAACCTCACTTAGATGGCTGCTTGTTTTAAGACCAGCCTTTAAGACTTCGACCACTATTCCTTCTGATTGCCAGGCATCATCTGATTTCTTCACCGCACTTTGCTATAGCACCCATATCTTCAGTGATCTCTTCTTAAAGGCAAGTATTGAGTAGGGTCATATCAAAAGAACTAACTGTTCTTAAGTACAAACTCAAAACCCATTCAAATATCTATGCCTGTCTATGTTCCTAGTTCACTTTAGAGACATCTTTATCATTTTATTGGAGAACATTAAAAATCATCCCCAGTGGGCATATGGTTATTTTCGCACTAGTTCCGTTAATTTAGCCAATGTTATAGAATTTAAAATAGTGTTAACAAAAGAAAAGTATGCATGTATGGAACAGATTTTTAGAGTAAAATACATGGATTGTTAACTTGTACAGATTAAAAACTTAAGTGACTGCATACTATTTATGCAAACAATGAGAGCTGGAGGTAGGGCAATGCGTTCCATGATGCTCATTCACAAAGGCAGAACTGGGTCTGCTAGAGCAGAGAGAGGATGAAAATAGCAAATATGTGGTAGTTTTGAGTTGTCAGTTTTAAAGCACCCTCAAATCCAGAGATTTGAACCAACATCCACATCTACAGTCTTGAGAGAGTAGTCATTTGCTTCTTCTCACACTAAGGTGTCTCAGCCCTAAGTCCAAGGGAGTATTTCATGTCCTTTAATCTGCTACAGGTGTGTTTAAGTCCAGGTTAGTAGGTTTATAAGTAATGTTAAGCGTTTTTTCCCAATGGCAGGTTGCCCCACTGGTTTCACCCACGAACAGAAGTGGAATCACTTTCTCTGAGACAGAAATGTCCCCCGCGCCCACCTCTGGACTTGAATTTCCACTGAAGTTCACTACGCACCTTTGTAGGAGTGTCTGTTGACTTGGGGTGACCATAGAGCAATGTTATATGATAGACACTGATTAGTCTTCTCCCTCTCCCCTCAGCATGAGAAAATGACTACAGCCGAGGTGAAGCCTCCTCTGTTGAAATGTGGTTTTTTTTAATGTACAAATAAGGGGGTGTTAAATGATCTACGAGCATTCAGCAGGCACACCACCACATTTCTTGGGAAACTGGATTCGAAGATTACATAACCTGAGAACAAAAATGCCTGCCTTTGGCTTGGTGTTTGTCCTTATAGTAGTGGTCTCATGCGGCGTGTGTCCTTCTGTGATGGACTGACTTTGCTTAGTATGATGGTTTGCAGGCCCATCCATGTCATAAGGTGTTCCGTGGTTTCATCGCTATTTTTTAGGGATGCATAGTATTCCATTGTGTATGTATATCAGTTTATTTATGCATCATTCTACTGATGGGTGTTTGGGCTGTTTCCAGCTTCTTGCTACTTTGAAATTTGCTTCAGTGAACATGGGACAGCATTTGTCTGTTCATGTCACGTCTCTTAATTCTTTGGGATATAGAACCAGCAGAAGTATTGCTGGATCATAAGGCATTTCTATTCCCAGTTTTTTTAATAACACCATATTGATTTCCACAATAGTTATATATGTTTACAAGCCTACCAGCACTACGTAAGAGTTGCATGCTTTACAGCCTCTGTTGTCCTCTGTTTTTGTGTTTGTTTGTTTTTAATTGGGTTATCATTGTGGGCATAAAGTAATATCTCATTATTGTTTTGATTTACAACTCCTAAATAGCTAATGATCACAGAATTTTTTTTCATGTGTTTGTTAGCCATTGAGTATCATTTTTGGTGAACTTGCCCAGTTTCTAATTGGATGATTTGTTTGTTTGTTTGACTTATTGAGGAGTTGCAGAATTCTATAGATTTCAGTAATTAGTCCCTTGTCCATTATGTCATGACTAGAGATTTGTTCCCAGTCAGTGGGTTCTCTTTTTATTCTTTTCATGAAGTCTTGTGATGTGCATAAGGTCACAGTCGTCTATGCTGCCTTCTACGGAGCGTCCTTCCCTTTACATATGTGGTAGTCTGCGTGTGCTCTGCAACAGAGCCCTTAGGTTTGCCCCAATGTTTTCACTGATGGTCTTCATTGTGATGGGATGTACACTTAGTCCTCTGATCCTATTTGAGTTCATTTCTGTGCATGGGGCAAGGTATGGGTCCTGTTTCATTCTTCTGCGAGTATATATGCAATTTTAACAGCTCCATTTGTTGAAGAGGCTCTCTTTCTCTCTCTTTTTTTTAGCCCTTTGTAAAAAATCAGTTGCATATACGTGGATGCATTTATTTCTGGGTTTCCCATCCTGTTTCTTTGGTCTATGTATCTATCACTGTACCAGTACCAACATGTTTTGACTACTGTGGTTGTGTGCTAGGTTTTGAGGTCAGGTGCTATGAGTCCTCCTGCACTGTTTTTCAAGGAGTTCTTTGCTTATTCTAAGTCTCTTCTCTCTCCATAGGAAGTTTGTGATTAGTTTTTCTATTTCTTTAAGGCATAAAGTTAGAATGTGATCAGTATTGGATTGTATTTATAGATTGCTTTGGGTAGTATTGACATTTTCACAATATTAAGTCTGCCAATCAATGAACATGGAACATTCTTCCATTTGTATAGGTCTCCTTTGGTTTCTTGTGTAGGTCTCTAGTGTTCTGTAGTTTCCTTTGTGCAAGTCTTCTGTTTCTGTGGTTAGTTTTATTCCTAAGTATTTTATCTTTCGTGTGTTATTGTTTAAATGGTATTATTGTCTTGATGTCTTTTTCGGAGCTCTCTTTGCTGGTACACAAGAATCCAGTTGATTTCTGCTTTTTAATTTTGTGCCCTATTACTTTACCAAATCCCTCAAATGCTTCCAACAATAATTTTATGAAATCTTAAGGACTTCTATACATAAAATCATATCTTCTGCAAATAGTTTCATTTCTTCATTGCCTAATTATATCTCCCTTATCTTTCAATTCCATTTTTTCCCCACGAACATGTAGATAAAGACTAGCAAGCACAAATGAGGAGAAAACAGAATACATCAAGATCTCCAAGGTATGTAATAGACAAAGGTCTTCCCCAGAGTTGACAGAGACCCTTCCTTACAGTCAGTGCCTTGAATTTGGACTTGTAAGCTCCTAAACTGTGAGGCAATGAATTCTGTTATTTAAAGGCAGCCACATGAACACTAAGATAGCACCTGTCTTGGGGAACGCTTCACTCACTGTACCCTGGACATAAAGGCATGTGCATGCATAGTTTGCTTTCCTCTCTACTCTGGGGCCTTGACCAGGCCTCGTGCTGCTGAGCTCTCCCTCAGTGCCCAGTAAGAATGCATTGTGGGCGGTTTGCAAGCTGTGGGCACCTGTCTCTCAAACCCAAACCACCAAACCAGGTGTCATCCAGTCAATTCTAACTCATGGCAGCTCCACATGTGCCAGAGTAGGATGGTACCACAGGGTTTTTCAACGGAGGAGTTTGGGGAAATAAATCACCAGGCCTCTCTTCTGAGATGCCTCTGGGCAGACTCTCATCTCCAACAGCAGTGAGCAACTGAATACACTTTTGTGTCACCCAGAGACTCCCACTTATCTCCTAAAACTGCAGGAAGAGCCCTCTGTAGAGTTTTACAAACCATTTCTCTTTCCGTTGCTGGTAACTTTATTACTCGAATCCACAGGAAAAACCTGTTGGGACAGTTTGCTCACTTACTATTCTAACTTTTCCCTAAACAAAAGCTAGTTGAGTAGGCCAATAACAACCTAGCCCAGAAATGGACTTGGTGAAGGATGAGGAGAGAAAGGAAAGTCTGTAGGGGCAATTAGAGCAGGGCAGTAGAGCCCTGATTTATGCTTCCCTACATCTATTCCAAAGAGTAGAAATAACAACTGTGATATTTTCCAAAAAAGTAAATGCATAACAAGGAAACCAGAAACAAGGACTACCAGCCCTTCACAAATTACAAGGAATCCCTAAGAGACAATTGGTTTGCCCAATGACTAGTTTGCCAAAAATTGCCACAGCCCCAAACAAATGAGAGAAAGGTGGACTGAGTGAGAGAACAGCTGAGTGGGCTCAGGTGAGTCAGTCCCTGGCTCCGCCCCTACCCTTTACCCAGCTTGTTCCGAGCAGCAGGTAATGGAGGCTTTTATCCAGACTGGAGAGCTAGGCTAGAGCCAGTAAAATGACTCTGCAAGTTGGCAGTCCTTAGGAAAAATGGAGCAAGTCCACAGTTAGAAAGCAAAATACTAGAGCTCCCAGCAGGAAGTAAGCCCTGGGGCTTTTCTGGGAAGTGCTTAGAAGAAAGTAACAGAGGATTTTTGTACATTTTGTACATTTTTGTACATAAATAAAGAGGAGCATACAAACCAGAACCTACCAAGCATCCAAGAAACCCTTCACCCTGGAAGACTGTCAATTCCATAACACCGTCCCCAAAGACAATGCCCTGCATCCTCCTGTGGTGAGGAGCCACTGGGGCCTTAATAGCTTGCAAGCAGCAATTGGTCTCTTCGAACCAGACTAAAGAAGAGTGAAGAAAAAGCGTGACACATGAAGCAATCACTCCAGTGGATTAAGGGACCAAGCAAACTTCATCTTCCATGGCCCTGAGACCAGAATATGATGCTGGTTAGCTACCACCAACCAACTCCTCTGAAAGGCACTACCGCAGAAGGCTCTAGACAGAGTGGGAGAAAGG